TATATATACATATACATATATAGCTTACTAAACATCTCAGTCTATTCTTCTTTCTGAACAACAAAGATTCCACGGTTGCGTTTATCAACCAACGAACGCGTCCACGCAATGACTGGAATTCCTTCAACTTGCACTTGTGACCAAGTGTACACACAAAAATCGAGTGGTAGAACAGTGAAACTGCAACTAGAACGCATCAGAGGAGAGACGGTGTTCAATTATTAATTAATTCCATTGACAATTAACAGGGTATATTTGATTCTCACGGTAATACGGGACAATTTGCCGTCCCTTTTCAGCTCAACGGGAGACACTTTTTTTTTTTAGACTCTAACAATGACTTAAAAAATCATCTTTTTTTTTTAGAGTCTTGTAATACAAGTCTTGTGATTTTTTAAAAAAAAAAATACGTTTCAGGTAAAGCGGCGCGGGAAGAAATGTACAGTATGTCTGTATTACTGCTGCCTACATTTTCTGCTACATTTACACCAATTCCCTTGACACTTTCAGCGTTGAACTTTTACATTTTGTTTTGGCTGGAGGGAGTTGTAAAAAAAAACAAAAAAAAAAACAGCTTTAATAGAACTTTTATTTTCAGAAAAATGATCTAAAGTGACCCGTGACACGGTAGGAGCATGTGCCGTAGCCAAAGCACTTGGCTAATATTTGACGGTTTTATAGTTGGACATTGTGCTATGCAGCTATAAACTTGTTTAACAAAATAGCCATTTTGAACAGCCCTCCAGTTGTTGAGTATAACCTGACAGTTACGATTGACTGTGAAGACTGTGACAAGAAATCTAACCCCCAACCTCTACAGTCTCCTGCTGCTTTAAACACGCCGGTAGTGTCCCTAGATGAAGATAAACAAAAATGAAGGGATCTTTTGTCTCTGGTGATTTCCACGCTACACCCAATGCAACATTTCCAATAGCCTATTTCTTTATTCGGGACAGTAGGATATACTTTAGCAGCTATTTGCTGATGACACCAATGTGTTTCTGACGATGTTCTGTTGACGTTCAACTACGCTACACACATTGTAGACAGGCTAAGCATTGTAACAACTAAATGTCAGTGAAGAACAAATATAGTGCAGAATTTGTCTTCGCAGGGACTTTGGCCATTACCGAAAGGCAAAACGCTCAATCGAACAATCGGCTCCCAATCATTACGTTTTGGTTTTTTTTTTTCTGAAGAGGAGAAACTACACCTATACACAACCGTCTGCCTCGGTTATTACAATCAGCAGTTGTAAAATTACTTTTAAAACGCACTCAATTAAATGCACTTAATTCCAATTTGTTTACCTCAACTATTGTTTTTTTTTCTACACTTACCAACATGGAAACCAAGTGTATAAGTGTTTGTGTAAAGTGTGAGACAAAGCGGCCACCGTTGTAAGATTACTTTAGCAGTGTCTTTACAACTTTTGAAGCTAAGGAATTGCTTGCTGTTGGATAAGAGTCGGGGTCGTTAGGTTCATGTTTAAGCCATTTTGGAGTAAAATTCCGTGGCATACAACGTAGCTCTGCAAAACCCTCTCATCTAAAAGAGAGAGAACCCTGTACAAATGTGCGAGTGTCATTTCCAACCTTTGCTTTTGACAGTGGGAGAGTTGGGTCCTGCAGACTGCTTCCTCCATCCTCTCCAGTTCTGACAGAGGCTCTCGGCCTCTGATATGAAAGAGCACAGAGAGTCTTCTTCGAATCGGTCCGAGTCTTCGAAAGAGAACCTCTCCCCGTCCTCCCACTCGGCGAACATCAGTTCCATTACATCCAATGTTAAC